CTAGAGTGCATTTACAATTTCTGTCTGTTGTGCTTGAATAGGAATGCCAATATTGTAATGGTATATTTGTAGCTTTGGTTTTAGCTAAAGAGATGTGACATTTAAGATGTATTTCTCTGGGATTATTGTAAAAGCGTTGGAAGCGTCTCTTTTGTGCTCGCTGTGCATTTAACACTTTTACAAATATCATATTAGTGGTGCTTGTTTAACACTACAGTAAGCACCATCCCATCTATTTATATCTCAGTTATCTGTAAGTATTTACGTCTGGACCAGATAATCTCCCGATAGACTGTATGAGCATCGATCTACGCAACTGGGATACGATCAACACGTATCAACCAAGTCAGCGAGCCTGACCACACGACCGTTAGACACCTCTTACAAGAAGTATGGGTTGCTGAAGATCAATTCTTACCCGGTCAGTGGTGCTGTGATAAAGTCTCAGCCTAAATTGACTAGACCAATGTTCAACAAGGCTAGTTTCAGCCACTGGAAACTGCCGAACCAACAAGGTTAGTTTCAGCGACTGGAAACTGCCGGAAACCAACAAGGTTAGTTTCAGCGACTGGAAACTGCCGGAAACCAACAAGGTTAGTTTCAGCGACTGGAAACTGCCGGAAGCCAACAAGGTTAGTTTCCAGAAATGGAAACTTACAGTAAATTATCATTTACAGCAATGTCACATGAAACAAGATTAATTTCAGGAAAAGTTAAATCTGATTGAAAGAATATGGAAACTTAAGATTCTACGTTGTCTGCTTTACGTTTTGTTAGGTAAACTTACAGATACCTTAAACATACTGAGGAACCAGCCGCGGTAAGGCTCCATTAGGTTTCAGTTACCCATTGGCATTCCGTTTGTAATGTTTCTCAAAGTGATGCTTACTAATACAACTAACTGGGAGTGGTTATGCACATTACACATAACTTTACTAAAAAGGACAATATTTTCGTAAATGTTCAATGAGGAACATAATACAGGCCACAACAAATTATACAGTAGACTTATAGACATAAAATATATTTAAGTTTAACTTCATCTGCCAGTAGTGAATTCTTTGAGGACTGAAAGAAAATGAAGCCAATGAACGTTTCGAGGTGTTCGAAATGTGCCTTACCATTATTATTATAAGATATGTATATAGCGCACATATCCACGCAACTAGTATATGCTCAAGGCGCTGATATTTTTCCCTCGATAATTGGATGTCAATTTCAACGGCAAATCGTATTATCAATCTCAACTCCCCGGGGACCATACAACTCTTGAAGCCACTAGGCTCACTGAGTTATTACGGCCTTCTCATCCTAACTCGGTACCCATTCACAGCTGGGTGGACTGGGACACATAGTCACAGTACTTTGTCCAAGTTTACTGCACGTTGCTGTACCCGCAACTAGGTGTTTGCACGTATTCATGTGGCCACAATCTGGTCATATACCAACGGATTCGTGGGCTCTTTTAAGTGCACAGGGTTGTGTACTGTACACTAGGAGTTGTGACAACACTGAAAGAGTCTGCACACAAAGCTGACTCCAAGGTTTTTACACCCGGACACAGGTGGGCTCGATCCCGGCACCTCATGCTCGCTGGATCACAAGCCTGAGTTTGCTGCACACTATTTTCAGTCTTAACACACAAAGCTTGTTCAACAACTGCGACACGTTTATCTGTGTTATATAATCAGTCAGATGTCTTTTTCATTGCATACAATGCAGTTTAAAATTAGTAAACCGATCAGCTCCAGGTAACGGTACAACAACACACAACAATACTGTATAAAACGTCATGTGTATGAAGTCAATATGTATGTGAACACATTTACCTTCCTATACAATAACCTAAGCGTCCAAAGTTCGTTGTTGGCAATGTGCACTTGCTTTTATATCAAATCACAGGTGAATAGAGACACCAAGCTTATTAATTTTTATGGTCAAACTTCCTTATACGAAGTAGGTGTTATAAAACATTCCGTGAGACAGGTATGAGAGTTCAAGCTACGCATGATCACATGCATATATACTCAGTGCACCTATTATAGTGCCGAACTGGAGAATTGAAGTCGTCCTGCATATATGAGACCCCATCTTGAACGTGTTCCTATCATTATTTGAAAACAACATCCGAATAACGAAAGACGATACAATGTCATATGTACACTGACCAATACTGTCACAACTTCGAGATCACAAGAGCAGTGTCTTTATTCTCATGTGAAACTCGAAGATTTCTGACCTCATCAATGGTAGTTAGACATGGTTGTTCTCTGCAAGCTTAAACCTCATTCATTGTTGGCTTGTATATAGTTAGATATGTACACGACCTATTCACGGACCTTGTGTTTGCCATTTTCCGCGCCGCCCTCTACATATTCTCAGCCATGTCATGGTACTAGTGCTCGGTAATAAAAGGACCGAGCAACGCAATCATGTTTTCTAAGATACTGTGTCTCTGCCAGTGATGGGCATCTACTGTCAGTCTCAGTTAGAGGAGTAGTGGGTTTTGATGTTAAATACCAGTTCTTACTTGATCACAATCACATTAACTACATGAACGGCTGTGTTACAAAAACATTTGAGACAAACCTCCTTTGAGATGAACAGTTAGTCTTAAGACATGAAAAGGCATGGTTGCTTGGGTATTCATTCCTATGTGTATAGTAGCGTCTTCTCACTGTATGTGATCGTTTAGCCGTTTGCACAAAACACTCAGGTTTGTTCAGTATGGTTATTCAAAAATGTTTTCCACAACATGGACTTGAATGGAAAGAATACCGCAATGAACAGGCTTAACAATTTTACACGTCAAACAGGATGTACAAGATCATTACTTGTATCAACACTATTCATTGTAAGTGCAATGAGCATTAAGCATTAAGTAATGTGCATGTTCAAGGGGTGAAAACAGCTGTGTACTCGTTCTAATGTCATCACGTTTTTTCAAAGGAATCTAACTTCCTTGTACGAAAATAGTCTTATACAAAGGCGGGAATGGTGTTCACTATTTGTTGTATTGCTTGCGTAAAAGAGAGCAAGCTTTTGATTTGGGCGGGTATCCAGGTAGGAGGGTGGATCAATACGTGATGAATAATTTTATTAGATTTTCATGTGTCGTTCAGACATGCAAGTTCAGCTTGAATAGCTCATATTTTCCAATCCCGTGAAGATCCGGGTTAGATCTGATCTTCTAACCGATGCTTGTCATAAGAGTGACTAACGGGATCAGGTGATCAGACTCGCTGACTTGGTTGACACATGCAATCGTATCCAATTTGCGTAGATCGATGCTAATGCTGTTAATCACTGGATTACCATCATTCTACATTGGCACACACAATGCTCACTTAATGAAACAACTAAATACTACTGTAACAGTTTACCGTGCTCGTCAAAGGACGTGATATGTTAATGGTCACTTTGGCGTACTTACTCAAAGAAACATGTTCGCCAGTTTTACAAGTTACACAATTAACAATAAGAAGCATATTGAATGGTGTAGTCCTACAGGTAATATTCAGATAAATAGAGAAACGACAGTTTGAAAAAACAGTGATTATTTGGTATGTACCAGTGCTACATAACCATCTCACTCGGTCAGGTACTAAATAAAGTCCACCTATTTCAGAACCAAGTATAGTAACGTGAATGTGTTTCGTATGTCTATTTACTTTATCACTGCACTTATTTTCAAGCTTATTTGACGTTTATACTTTTATAGTTCATGTTTTTGTAAACAATGTTGGTAAACGTCCGTCGAAAGTTTAAATCAAATTATGGTGCTGAAACGTGTGAAACTGTGGCAATACCTGAACACTGCTGAGCGTCGCATCTATCCTATGTGCAGCTAACAAATAATAAACTATAATCAGTTGTCCCATGCATTCGGATCTACGTTATACACTGTAATGTTTCACTTGGTTTTTTTTCAATACTCTAGCTTCTTAATGTCCAAAGAAGTCACGTACGTGTTTTAAATCCGACATAACATTACATTACATTACATTATATCGCGCTACAGGGCTTAATTGTATTATTCAAATTTATATATCCTGTGCCTTATATTTGGTGACTTTTATGCGTGTATATCTTAAACATACATAGTTTTTTATATTCGTTCCCATGGTTACAAAGTCAACAACAAAGGTATGCGGTAGCAACAGACACAGAAAAGGTGAAGATACACTCCTGTAAAGATATAATAATAATTAGTTGCTGAATATTGGGATGAGAGAATTCCATTTAAGATTTAAGATTTCATTGTTTCTCTTGGAAAAAATGCCTTTTCATAATTAATGAATTTTGGAATTGATCTTTTATATTACACAAATTGATATGTTTTCTGGCAGAGATAATGATTTGATTTAGTAATACATCATTATGCAATGTACCAAACCAAATCTTTTGTAATGTTTATTGTTCGTGGTAAATAGTTATTAATCCAGAGTTCTAGATCATTCCAGAATTTCATGCTTTCACAACATTCCCAATAAACATGACAAATGCTCTCAAAACATCATGGCAAAAATTACACAAATTACTGTCTATCAGGACCTGGTTCATTTTCGATCGTTCATTTTTAGTATAAATAGGTACATACTTCACATACATACTTCACTTTCAATTCTACAAAATTTCTCGGGTACATGTTCATACTGTGGCTGATATACATGAGGTGAGACTTAAATATAGTATCTGTCTGACTGCTAGGGGCTAACATTTAACATAAGTAACAAGACGTCCGTGAGACAGGTGCAGTATTCCCCTTGCTACACGCAATTAAATCCCCAAAGTCGGTTATTTAGTTGACGCCTAATAGGTAAAACCTGAGGGAATTTTACACTTAAGGTATATACACCACAGTACGCACAGAGGCAGTATTTCAACTTGAACCTCGTTACACTCGCGTACATATGTCAACACTTCCTGCTCAACTATATCGGTACCCTCACTGTTGATGTATATGGTTTATACCAAGGGTAGTTCCCCTGAGTGAATCACTCCTTTCGCTGAGGCTCAGTTAAACGGGTGGGATAATTCGTTCAGTCCAAGAGGACATTTGTGTGCTTGTGGGCACAGATGCACGTGTAAGTAACCAATGATTTAGAATAGTTAGATTTATCATAATATTTTTCTTTTGATGGTTACAAGTGCTGAAATGTAACGTGTTCGAATATATTGCTTACCGTGTTTTACTACACAAATGTACATGAATAAAATGGATAATTAGAAACTTATTTCACTCGAGCAAGTGTGTCATGACTTACATGAAACTCGTGCAAATTTATGTATTGCCCTCGTATTCATACTCGTTTCGAATAAGTCGTATGACACACTTGCTTCTGTTATAATCTCTATATAACCTCCGATAAAGTACATTTACGCGGATAAGATTTTCAACTTCTCTGGGCACTCCGAAAATGAAAGACGTCGGCTGTCCAATTGTGACATTTTAAGTTTTCCATGACCTAACTTCTGTCCAGTGAACAGTTTCCTAGTGGTGTGCGGATGCAGTGTGTCTTTAGTTCTGTTTAATGAGAACGTGTGAATGCACTAACTCTTCCTTGTTATCCTTCAGTGAATGTCAGCAGAAAAGGAGGGTGATGTCTGTACCATGCCTTATTATATTCTTGGTCTGTATATTTGCTGTGTGGGATTTATGCACAGGATTGCAAGAAAAGGGGTATGTATATTGTTGCTTTTCATCACTGAAACCTTGTCAATGTCATTAATGAATGACTTGGCGAGTGAATCAGATATTTCAGGGGTGTCTATTCGCCCAGTGACCTAGTCATCCGTCTCTAAATACAACGTGATAAACACGACCGTCATTGAAAAAATGTTTGTAGCACATACTTGGCGGTTAAACATCGCAATCGCATAGGCATCTTCTTTGAGTGGCATTTTAGAAGCTGAGAAGTACAAAATTGACAAAGTTTGTAAATTTTGCACATAGGCATGACGTTACATAACTACACGCCGTTGAATAAGGTTTGCAGCACGAGTGTGAGTAGCGCTTGGCCTCTCCCACAGGCGGTTCCATTACAAGGAGTATTCCCAGAGATGTACTCCCACTGTGTCCACTTTTCTTAAAACAACAAACTTGGACAGTCGAGCACGCTGTTTCGATATTCATGGGGCCAAGAAAAAATATCGAGTTATCCGACCTTCGAGACATCCGACCAGGGCATATCATCACCTATCACTATGAAAGGAAACAATTCCGCAATTTAGAAACAACTCAACAATCACATGCTAGTCTCATTGGATTCTCAGCATATTTTGATTCGAAACTATAATCCGTTATCAGTAGTGTCTAGTCGTAACAGTGAGTACTTCCTATTTAATTCCTTCTTAATTAATCCTAATTAGATAACAAACAAGTGACACTTTCAACTCAATTAGCCCTAATTAGTTTACACTAGCGCATCCCTTTGATTCATGCCGTACCGTGTGTAAACGTGTGGAATTAACCTCAGTTCAGAGGGATACTTGCCCATGACAGGTAGGTGAATATCGAGATCCTTTGCAAATATCGAGTTAAAAGTGTAATTTTGCTTGTTGGGGCCATGAAATTATATCGACATATCCGAAATATCGAGACATCCGTATCGAGTTAAAAGAGCTTGAAAAATGATAAATTATGAAGGATTTTGCCGGGACCGATATGTTCGATCAAGACAACCGAGATATCGAGTTATCAGAGTTCGACACAACGGTGCTCGAATGTATGTACACAGTTTATGACTTAAGAGTTAAGTACTCTATACTATATATCACTGCCCACTAGCCTGATACAGACCTTAATCCATCTGTTGTTTTAACCCTGCCCGTTTCTGAAAGTGGGCACAGTGGGATTAAACCAATATGAGGACAGACCCACTGGCCTCCTGTACATACTATATATTTTGCTCGTAATCATATTCTGTCATTCACCTGATGATGGGGCCACAAATAGCCCAGAAACGTCAAGTTGTAAATATTACAAAAGTTGTTATCTTGTTAGACTATATATTACAAGAACGACAGCTGGAGGGCATAGTGTTTGCTAACCTGTGGATGTTTGCCCTTGGTGTTGTTCGCCAACTGCCTGAATAGCTTCCCCGAGCTGGGTCATGTTGGCTCATGCTGGGTCACTGGCGAACGTTCCCGGAACATACCACTGATCCTCGCTCTGTACAAACCGTTTGATATATTTACCTCATAGGAGCATTGTAAAATGTGTTATTCTAATATCGGCATGTCGTACGAGGCGACTAACCCGGCTTGGTTGACTCATGTCATCGTGAGTGAGTGAGTTTGGTTTTACGCCGCTTTTAGCAATATTCTAGCAATATCATGGCGGGTGACACCAGAAATGGGCTTCACACATAGTACCAAAGTGGGGAATCGAACCCGGGTCTTCGACATGACGAACGACCGCTTTAACCACTAGGGTACCCCACCGCTCCCATGTAATCATATCCAAATTACATAGATCGATGCTCATGACATCAGTGACTGGATTGTCTGGTCCGGACACGATTATCTACAGACCGCCGCCATATATCTGAACATTTTCTGTTTTCTTAAATATACAATTGTTATATATGGGCATGTAATACTAAAACATCAGGCTACAAAATGCAGAAAAGACAAATTGAAAACATGCTTTACGAAAGACTTTGACGTCATCAGTCAGGATGACGAGAACATGAATGCACAAAGCCATTTAGAAAGTGGTCGTGTGTTACATGGCGAGAACATGTGGACATGAAGTCATGTCACAAGTTACATGAAATCATTTTCGATTTTGGAAGGAGACAAAAAATGGTGTCATGACCTTGAAAGTGAACTTGACGTTTGAAGTTATAAAAGTTTTTTTAGACATAATCCAATATATATGATATATCTGATATGGCCCTGAGGTGACGGGAAGAGTAACGAAAGGCACAGCTGACCATGGCAACAATATAACACTTTTATTCATACTTGGCTAGTTAGTTGTTTATCTAGATGCCATGTAAATGAACTAAAATTGCGCATGGGAAATAGAAACGTGTATTTAGTCATGTGTAACTTGCAATTTCACAGAAAAGATCATAACTCTATGAGGCTAAGGACTATAGAATACACAAAGTTGTACTTTCCTTTCAGTGAAAATGTACTGACGATGACAACGTACAGGAAAAACAAATACACAGTGAAGTGTAGTTTTTGGAAGTGGGGTCGGTGCACAAAATACAGGTAACCAACTGCATATCAATTGATTTTATTAAACGTTACGCTTAAGTTTATGAATATTTGGATGACAATATATCCCTGATACGACTAGTTATCCTTGTGTAATGACCTTTGAACAAATATCAACCAAACGGTGACAGTACATCATAGTAAGGCATCATGACATAACATATCCTCTGAAGTAGGTACTTTGTCAGAACAAATAAACACTGTTCAGACGTGGCACCGACTGTATACATGCGTGGAACATACAAAAGGTAAGATTAGCATGTGCTTTCATCTGAAGGAAACACTCTTTACTTACAGGCAACAGTCAGACAAGACTTACAGATGCAAAACGGGGTACAGATCAACCGATAACAAAGGCTGCCCACATGGTAAGTGAAAATAGATCGAGATGATCGTCCTATGTATTTTGAAGATGTGCACACACTGTCGATTGTCCTGCGTAAACTACGGCTAAGGCTAAAGAATGCAATACGGGCAAGTGTAATACATTATACCATACACAATACCTTAGGTTTGTTTTGATTTTATATGAACATGTTCAACCACAAATAATGTAGCAATGAAACACCATTTATACATTGCAGCTGTATGTGACAATGAGATCCAGTCCGCTGCTTGCAACATCGACTACAGGACATCTCACATCGTCTACAGTAACGGTAGGACACAGTACAAGAGTGGGGGCAGATGTACTTCCCCTGGGATCTGTGCCAACTGTAATGAAGGCTTTTACCCCAGCAATGAACGCTGCAGAAGTACGTGTACATAGGTTTACACTCTATTAATGTATTCCGGCATATGTGTGTTAGAAGAAACGTTCTTGAGTAAAGGTTTACCAAAACCAAGAAATAGCATATCGCCTGTTCAGTTGTCTACTCAGGATAACACTTATGTTAGAATGCTCTTCTTGTCTCCAGTGTGCAGTGCCATCAGTAACTGTGACCTCGAGACATGCACCAGCAGCAGCAACCAGGTGTGTAGTCGCTGTGAGGGGGTCGTGCTGGACCAGGCAGGACACAGGGCGTATGTGGCGTCTTCTGATAGAAGATCATGCATACGTGAGTTGAAAGCGAATACACAAGATGAACATTATTGTCAAAGAACTAATTTGATCATAGATAATTGCATATTCTACCATGACTTCAGTAAATACTGGATTGTGATTGGTTAGTTAAAGTCATTCAGAGGTATATAATCACGTTATTTATACAGGTGTCTGATTTTCCGTGTGCAATTATACATGGTTTACGGTAATGCACTATTTCGTCTGCCCACCAACATGGCGGACACCAAACAAACTACCGATGCATCGATAGATTACGGCGATTTTGCTGTCGGAAATTACACCTATGTCTTTAAAGATGGATTTAGCGATGATGAGCTCCACTAACTACTTGCGTAAATCACAGAAATAAGTGTTAATACATACACAAATAATTCACAAGCATAGAAACAAATATTCAGTCGAACATCGCCTGCTTTCCGAATAAAAATTCAGCAAGAAAAATATGTTTACGTTGATTCTATGTTATGTCAAAATAGATTAAGCAATAGACCGTTACACAATTTCTATATTGAATTTCTTATCAGCTTTCGTTAACGATATCGCCACTGATCTTGATCCGGTAACGGGGGATGCATTAACATCGAACGCCGAAGAAATCTTAAAGCCTTCCGTCCACATAAACAAACAGTTTGGTTATCAATTCAAAGAAAATGATATATTTATGAGAATATGTACGGTTTCAAATTTAGTGGTAATAGAACACAGTTACAGAAGCTGCAAAATTCGCTGAAAACCGTTCTTTTAACCCAACATATTTTTTCTAAAAAATATAATATCGTTGAAAAAATGATTTATTTTAGTCATGATCCCTCTTATCATTGGGCGGTGGAGTAGCCTAGTGGTTAAAGCGTTCGCTCGTCACTTCGAAGACCCGGGGTTCGATTTCCCACATAGGCACACTTTGTGAAGCTCATTTCTGGTGTCCCCCGCCGTGATATTGCTGGAATATTGCTAAAAGCGACGTAAACCATACTAACTCACTCACTCAGTAACTCTTATCCTTACACTGCTTGATCAGTCATCACGGCAAAAGCGCCCCTACTCTTAAATTTTGCAAGGTACCAATAATTAGATATCAAAGACTCTATCTCAGTCATACCATCAGGTTAACCTTGTGCAAACTGTCAGAAGCGCTCCTGTCTTTCCAAATTTATAATATATGCAAAGTAAAGGTAAACAATGACTTCCGAGAAAAGGTCAAGGCCATGAGGTCACTGCCATTATTCGCGGTGGGGAAAGGGTCTACGTTGGAATATTAAAATGTGAACCAAGCTTTTAAAACTTATTTGATATATGTTTTCCAATTTATCAGTTAATGGTTGGTGATTAATGCATTGAAAAAAACAAAACGTTATTTGTTATTACTGAACCTGGTGTTTGTTAGTTATTGACGGTTTACCACAAATCACCGAAATTGTACCACAAATCACCTCGTTTCAGGCGATACCACTTTTTCCAACACAGTAGGTTTATCTCCGAATTACTTCTGTATATTACTTCTGAGCAGAAACCACGTTTCACCGAGGAAATACTATGTCTTGCCATGAATGTATGACATGGAACCCATTCACAAGGATGTAATAAGGCAACGTCTGTCATAATATTACATTTGTGTCTACAGAGGCGTGTTCGTGGCGGAGTGACAGCACCCGGTGTTATCCCGGGACCTGCAGGAACGAGTACGCCAGTAACTGTGCCTGCTCCAGCGGTTTCACAGGGAAACATTGTCAGACAAGTAAGACATTGCTGAAACTACATGGAACGACTGATGTGAGCATACTGGTGTACACTTACATTGTTTTGCTTCTGACTAGCTGGGGCGGTGGGGGTGGCCTAGCGGTTGAGGCGTTCGCTCGTCATGGCGAATACCTGGGTTGGATTCCCTAGACGAGCACATTGTGAGAAGCCCATTTCAGGTGTCCCCGCGGTGATATTGCAGGAATATTGCTAAAAGCGGGGTAGAATCCAGCTTACTCACTCACTCACTCTGGCTAGTGACCTTGAAAATATCAAGACAATGTGTAATCTTAGAGCAGTATAACTTATGATATGAATGTTGTTAATGACGATTGAACCTGTTGCTATACTTGTGCATGCATGTCACAGTAACAACGAAGCCCACAATAAACATCAACCTCCTGAGACTGACCACCAGCAATGGCGACACGACAGAGGCTCCTCCCAACATCAGCAGTGGTCCATCTCAGTCCACTAGCTGGTCAAACATCAACTCTCCATCCAGAATGTACTACGATTTTACGGCAGAATATAAAACAGAACCTACACCCGAACATGCCTTCATTGAAGGACTCAGTGTTGGAATTGTCAGCGGTTCTGCGTCATTCAAACTTGAGAGAGGTATGTCAGAGACAAGAACCTTTGAGATCATTTCAAATATTCACTACAGTGTGACGTCATCTCTTCAATCATAATTATACTAGTGTTTGTCCAACAATAGAGCAACGGTACATTTGCAATTCATTAAAACATTGTGCTGTAATGGCAATCATTTGGAAAACTGTGAGAAACGTTTTGCTATTAGATGTCTCTCCCCAACTACATACTGTGTGTAAGTGGACATTCAGAACATATACCCTCATACTACGATTTCGGCCAACCTATCATCTAAGGTGATCGAGCCAGCAGAAGCAGGCTGGATACGCACCATTTAGCATTTGTTTTCACATGCACATTACTCAGTAGTGTTCAATTGTACTGTAATGATGTTCTTACGCGTGCATGTTGACATCCAGGGCGGCATGTTGTCTCCACTAAGGTCTACACCTGTCGAGGAGCCAGCCAAAGCAGCCCGGACACAGACCTGTACACCTGTAAAGGAAACCTATCAGGGACGTCTGTACTTCCTCTACCCTTACAACACAGAGACGTGTGAGTAGTGGTGGGCATGTGGATTTTGCCAAGACTGGGTATACAATTCATTGTACTTATCGGTATACAATTCAGACCACGATACATCATAATATGTTAAGGACGTTTGAACAATAGACAGAACAGATGGCTAATGAAATAGATAAGAAAAAATACTTTCTTCTCATTCCGTTTTCCCGTTTCCGTTTGTGTGTGCTAACAGTAATGGTGTGTGATTAAAGATGGTATTCGTTTACGTTTTTACCAACTACAAACCTTATGCAGATGAATTGCACGAGGATCATGTATTAAATTGCTAAAAAGCATGTGCAAATATCGTGCATGTGAACAGTTGTGTTGTCGTGTAAACTTTTGTTAATAATTCGCCAATTTTCACCAATTTCATCACTTATTTTACCCAATGATGTGCAAATATCGTGCATGTGAACAGTTGTGTTGTCGTTGCAAACAATAATTCCGCCAATTTTCACTCAATTTCATCACTTTTTTTAATCAATGACGGAGCACCTTTAGAAGATACAGACAATAACGTTAGGAATTTGTTTTACAATACACCAGACCATGTGTAAATAGTATCTTTAAACAGTATGGAACATTTTGCAAAATCTTGTTCAGAAGAGTTTACCTAAGTAAGTGGCTACATTTACACTAGTGAGTCTTAAGCTTTGATGGGGAGCATATTTTGCTAGGTTTCTGGAAAGTAGTATTAGTATAGGGAATAGCGGTTCTATTACAGGTCCCCTGTAAGCGTTCTCTTGTCAAACTCCAGGTGTAAATGATGGCAGGTTATCATTCGCCGTCCATGCAAAATTTCACGAAAATTGGTCAAATAGTTTCGGAAATATTCACTTTTTAGTGAGCATGGGGTCGTTCAGACTTAACTATCCAACGTATAGGCGATCACGCTTGTTAAGGGGGGTTTGCTATCTCCGACCGGCTAACACTTATACGGCTCCGATAAACTCGCTTCCCGGATCGACTTGCAGCTCGGCAGGCCAGGTTATGCGACTGCCCCGCCCTTCCAGTATCTACGCGGGCTGTAGTAAATTTTCTCCATATTTGATTATATTTATTTATACATGTGTGTCCGTAGGCAAGTCGTGATGCCATCTTATGGTGTCCATTAGAGACAGCGACGTCTTGTTGTTTCTCAGACCGTATGTCGTGTGCTTGTCGCTTCTCAGCATGTTCATTTGGTGTTTGAAGGTCTGTTTCTCGAACAGGGCCTCTTTGAAGCGATCTAGCCTGATGTGTTTTTCACCACGTATTTTTTCACCTTTCTGATTTCTTGATCAAATACATTTTCGGTCGCCGATCGCCGTACTGAATGTTGAGGTTGTTGTAGTTAAAGTGGTACATGAGGTGTTTGGACAAGTCCAAGATGCACATCCCCACGTAAAGGGGCCGGTTGAATTTGATATGGCTTTTGTTCATATGTATCGCTATCGAGTTTGTAGAGATTTTTTTCGAAATCGCTGAGGGCCATTTTTCGCAGATCCGTGTTCATTCGGATGTACGGCTCCATCCACGGCCGTTGATCAAATCGTAGCGCTTTGTGTATTTCCGTCAGCTTCATTCCCAACGACGTGTACAGCTGCAGGTTTCTGTAGTGCACAATGTACTTTATCTTGTTCAAGTTGGGCACGACTTTTTGTATGTCGGCAAGTTTGCCTTTTTCACCCAGCAAGTGTCGCAATGCTCGTGACGTCGCCGATCTGCATGTCGCACCACTCGCACGAATCCGCCAGTTTTAGGGTCATGCCCCAGCCGTACAGGTTCTTGGCGTCGAGATAGAGTATGTGTTTGGTTGGTTTGCTCGAGTCGTAGCCGTCCTACTTACTGTTGGTTTTGGTGTAGTGCCCGGCGGACATCGAAATCCCATCTCTCAAACCATTCTCGACGAACAGGTACATGTCATAGTCGGTCAGCAGTTCCAAGGTGTAATACCAGGAGACTGGTGTAATACCATGCGGGATGCAGGTCGTATTGTCTCAAGCAGGTTTTTCTGAATGTTTCTAAGACGTCGGCGACCAGCAGCACGTCCGTTTTCAAATGGAGAACGTGGTAGTCGCCGCCCAGTCTTGCAGCCCAGTTTATCCCACACATTTATCGCGTGCGAGTAATCGTCCTCTTCTATGCCCGAGTTGTTCAAGTGACTGTAAAAGCAGTCCACGGGAGGTAATCGCCTTTTGTCCAACCTGGACCAGTCATCCATGTACTCGTATGGATAAACACCCTTCCTGAGTAGCAGAGGCCGAGTCGCCTCATTGGTGTATCGATTGGTTATATGGAAACATTCGGGGTCGTTGGCTTTCACTAGGTTCTCCAGCGAGGAGAGCAAAAAACTGGAAGCTGTCTATGAACTTCAGTCCATCCAGCGAGAACGGGATGTATTTCTCCATGTTGTTCGTGATGCATTTTATGCTGCCTTCCATTTTCGAGATGGGTTGCATGATGAGGTGCAAGTCGTATCCGCGAAGGTTGTGCAGCACCATGGGCATGGGGATGATTTTGGGCTTGATTTTCAGTTCCAAGTTGCATGAGTTTTGTGTGGCGCCTCTTTAACGGCCTTTGACGAAGCAGTGATCTCTCACCGAATCGCCGTTGAGCGGTTGTTTGCACACGTGGCAGTAAGTGGCGTTCTTGTGAGCTCGCCAGTCGTCCATTATCATGCGCATGAGGATGATTCTGTACAAATTTCTCCTAATGATGTTTTCCTCGCTTTGTAGACAGGTTAGAAACGTTTTGGCTGCATCCGGACCTCGGTAGATCGGCGGATTCCTTTTCCCATCGTATCGGACCACCACATACCCGAACCCGCAGGCCTTGTGTTCTTGTGAAACGGCGTCGGTGTGGTGATGGTCGACGTTTTTGATAAGGGCCGTAGATGATGTAGGGCACCGGCATTTGTATCTTGTGGTTGACGAAATTTAAGATGTCGTCGTCTTTCTTGGGCATGTCGATCCTGATCGCCGTGTGCCCCACGCCCGAGCAGTCCTCCCGTTGAGCTTCCAACAGGTTGCCACGCAAAACTGTTTCGTTCTGTCATATTTTGACTGGTTGTGCAACAGCCTGCTCAGAATCTTAATAACGACATAGTGATACTTGTCGTCTTTTTCGATTAGGAATAACTTGAGCATGGTTTTATCCACAGAGCTGATTCGGTGCATGATGGTTTTATTGCCTTCGTGACCAAACACGTTGACGGCCAACTTGTTTTGCGTTTCGATTCTTATCCAGTAGGAGATGGGCGTGGGGTGTTCTATACTCGTAAAGTCGAGCCTAGACTCCTCTTTCGATGGATAGCTGGAACCCCTACACGGATTACCCCCTCAGTTCGTGGAAGGCAACAATGACTGACACCACCGCGCAGCCATCGGTGAGGCTCAGTGAGTCCGACACTGCCGTCTGTCTGCTGCTTATCGAGACATGTTTACCGTCAGCTGGTACTTTTGGCTTCGCAAATTGTCCAGCTCCTCATCCAGCTTGGTGGCTACCAGCGGCTTGATGACCCAATTGATATCGATGTTCGAGTAGACTTTCATTCGCCAGCCTCTGAGATACTTGTCGTAGTGGTCTGTCTTCACGAATCTCAGTCCCTCAACCGGTTTGCTCTCTTCCAGCAACGCCATCAGCTCGGCTCTGTGAAGCCTGGAGTACCTCCCTAAGCCTAGGTCTTTGGCTCGCTGCTTCAACTGCTTCACGCTTAAGGGTTTGCCGAATTCGATGTTGAGAAAGCTCAACAGTTGAGATTTCCTCATGCGAGAATATCCCGTTAATTGGGGCTCTTTAGCAATCGGTTTTTAGTGCTTTGACTGTAGTTGTCATGGTGCTTTTCGTATTTGCAAGTGAAAACAAACGTCTAACAGTTCGATATGATTTCATGTGAAACGAATGTCTAACAGTTCTACAAACTGATGTATACATATATGTGAAAAAAAATAAAATAGTTACTTAATTCAAAGTCGTATTTTGCGGAGCCACCGGCATTTGTGCATGTAATCTTTGTTCTTTTCTAGGGCTGCGCAATATAACCGGTTTACCGGTATTTACCAGTTCAGACATGAAAACGATACGTATTGCGATACGCTGATCGAAAACCGGTATTTTGACATGCATTCGGAAAACTTCGTAACACTTGGAAATCTTCGGATATTTCCGTTTTATAAACTGTTCCTTTGTTTGTTTCATTTGTGCCAATCATTATTTACATTTATTTTGTCATGATTAAAAGTTTTTATTGAAGCCTAATAATTCATTGTGATTTTGTTATAACAGATGGCTAATGAAATAGATAAGAAAAAACACTTTTTTCTAATTCCGTTTTCCCGTTTCCGTTTGTGTGTGCTAACAGTAATGGTGTGTGATTAAAGATGGTATTCGTTTACGTTTTTACCAAATCATATTAGTTGGACAAGACGGCACGGACTCCACACATCTGTGTATGCGTGAGTGTTCATGGTTAAAGTTGGGATGCAAATATTACATATACTACCCATCAAAAGTTTACACTCACTTAAAGCAGTCGCTATATGTTATGCATATATGTGTGGTTACATCGAAGATGAATTTCTCCACTAACTTTGGGGAACCAACTGCAAACCTTATGCAGATGAATTGCACTAGGATGATGTATTAAATTGCTAAAAAGCATGTGCAAATATCGTGCATGTGAACAGTTGTGTTGTCGTGTAAACAATTTGTTAATAATTCGCCAATTTTCACTAAATTTCATCACTTTTTTTAACCAATGACGGAGCACCTTTAGAATACAGCACCACAACTTCTCGTGAGGACGATCTCTGTCGTAGGTCACGTGTCATTAAGACAAGCAACCAGTTTGTGAGAACCCGTTGGACGCGAACCCGCGACCTTCGGATTGTTAGCTCGACAGCTAACCGACTGAGCTACGTCCACACTGTTACACAATGTGCAAATTTATCGAGTCATTTCTGTGACGTCGCGGAAATGAACGGAAAGAGTCGAATAGGTCACGGACA